ACTTGCCTTAAAATTATCCACACCTTGGTGGTACAGTATCTTACAGTTTTTCATCTGAAATGATTGCGTAGTTCTTTATTATTATTTGAAATTTCTATTTTATCTGATTTACTTATCTTTCTACCTTGTTTAGCATCTTCATTATTATTTGAGTATTCATCATAAAAATTTTCATTTATATTTGAATTGGCTTCTTCATCGTCCACATGAACTAGCAGTTATTCTACATTAAATGGATGTAACTCAATAGTTGGTTCTTGTTGTATATCAATTAGTTTTTCATCATCCTATATTGGTTCATATTGAATTAATTGTTGATGGACTTACTACATTTAATATGTTTATTTCATAAATTAATTTCGTAACAGCAAAGCATCAATAAAAGCGTATTCTTTTAATATTACTCGATATTTTTTCTCTTTCAGTATCGGATAAGTACGTCCGCGATCAATTAATTGTTATGGAAGATATGTACTTAAACAAAGATCAATATCACAGCCCCGTTCAAGTAATGTTCCACTTTTACCTATACACTCGTCGCCTTTAATTTTAATTACAGACGGCAATGAGTATTGATGACTTGCATCGAATTCTTTTTGTATATCATGATTAGTAATTTTAATGTTTGTAGTGAAAGAGTTAAATAAATTAAATTTTTTAAGTTTGCCTAATGCAGAACTCCATGAATAAATATGATTGTTTCACGTAACAATAATTGTACATAACTGTTGAATCTTCTTAAATAAAGGACATGTAATTAATGGTAAATATTGAACTTCAATAAGAATAACACTTGGTGGTAGATTTTGACGAATGCATTCAACCTATAAGAATATGGCTGGATGTGAGTGTTGGTCTTCCATTAATCCCCACCCATACCAACATTCATATCTACCCACAACCTGAACAGTAATAACTAACTCAAGTTCTTCTGGTATAGTTAACATAAATAACTAATTCAAGCTGTTATTTAATTTAAAACATGATTAAAACTCATATTCTTATTAAATTGTAAACAGAAACAGTTAACTTACATTCTTATTTATTTGTAAGTTTTCAACACAAATAACGAATTGATGTTCTTGCTCTTCTTTCAGTTACTTTTTTCTTCAATGTAATCTTCCATACTGTCATCGTAGTTAAATATGCAATACCATCGTAGAAATGAAAAAAAATGAAAACTCTTTGAATAACATACACGAAATAAAAAATATTAGCAACTTTTACAATGTATTTCTTTTTGAATCAAGTTTATCTTTGTCTAGCAGTGTAATGCTGATAGACAATTCTTTTTGAAAAATATCTCTGCAAATTAGCAGGGACTTTGCAATCATTCATATAAATATAATTCTGAAGAAGTCATATTGATAAGGCATTGAGCTTTCTGAATACTAACCTAGTTTAGACATAGTCAGAATATCTATGTGAACCATGTGGTAGGTGAGATTTATTGGTCATTTCTACAACTGTAACCATACCAAAAATGAATATACATTATAATTCTAGTATAACACATGAATAAAATACCTTGATTTCTATTCGACAAATCAAAATCTTATTAGAATGACGTGAACTGATATGCCATAATATATTTTACAATAACTCAACGCAATCGGTCGTCTTTTCCATAGTCATAAAGAACCGTTCTCTACATTTAAACACACTGGATGTTGCATAGTTACTTGAAGAATGTACTATATAAATACAGAGGATGAGTCTTTCAAGAGGGAGTTTCCTTTTTTGTGTTCGTGTTACTTCGAAATATTATTGTTCAAGATCAATTTGTTTTCGACTTATCATATTCTTATATTCTAATAATATACGAAGGTCCTAAAGTGTTGGTTTACGATAATAAAATTATAATTGAATTTCATAATTACTCACTCATCACTTCTCTGGGGTCTAAAACTAACGGTGCATCTGATTAAAAAAGAAATTACCCGAACTTCACCGTCACTGCATCATGACCTGCTTTTGTTGTCTTTGGTTATATGAGAATAAAGAGAAAGAAAGAAACGACAATATTTTTATGATCTGACATTCTTTTGAACATTTTAATCACATAAATTTAGAAAAACCATGTTTTTTTCCCTGATAGACTGTGCTTGATAAATGGCACTGTCGCATAAAGCTTTTCTGATAATTCAGAATGAATGCTGATATTTAAAGTAAAACTCATTACACATGAATGCTGTACGTGATGGAATGCGTCTAGGCCAATGCAAGAATAAAATGAGTTTGAAATAGTTTTAATGGTTGATAGCATCTATAGATTCGACTGATGGATTTAATTTTACAAAAGAAACCTTTCTCAAGGCTACTCTTTTTTGAATCACAACTATGTGAGATCTTTATTGCTTTTTCAACCAGAAGGAAATTCAAAGAACAATAAGATATCTTTTATTTATGGTAGGACCATTCATTGATGTTGAATAAACTCAAGAGTGTAATGTCTGTTGCTGGTTTGTATGAGAATGTAGGAACTGATGATTGAAGTATTTACTTTTTCTATTTGGTTCTCAACAATTAAAGTCGTAGATGTTCATATTCGTGAAAAAATGTCCTTGTTTAGTCTTCATCGCACAACAGATATATTTAAATAAGAAGTACGTAATAAAAGCAACAAAACACAATGAAGAGGGCATAGTAGGTGAAGAAAACGTCGCTTTAGTTTTTGGCTAAGAATGATATGTTTTTAATATCGACAGTAGGAGTACCAAATCACCATGACTTTGCACTACTGTAACTTGATAATTAGTAATAATTACAATTACTTTGTATCACCATCTGCTTTGTTTTGTATTACTTTGATAATATTAAAAGTTTTATTGTTTCTTGTTAGCGAAATATGAAATAGTTTCTTATTCCTCTGTTACTCAATAAAAGTAATAAGTAGTTACGTAACTTGTGATAGCAAGAGATAACGAAACAACTAGCACAATATGACAAAGATAGGAACGATACGTACGGTATTGGTGCACAGATGTTATTTATTGATGAAATATGATTTTGTAGATCTTCTCAGAAACGCGGGTTGTATGAAAAAACAATGCAGAAAAATATGATTTAACTATTGGCGACAGTCACAGGCTAGAAACTGTACTATTAGTTTCCATAATTTCATGCTCACTTGGTTGCTGTACCACTTAGCAGCATGCATCGGCAATTATGGCATATCCTGAATTTATAATACAACAAGCAAGTTTTTTAAAGTGTGACAGTCACTACACTGATTGCTATATGCTGAACTGCCAATCTATATTTCCTATATCAGTAATGAAAAAATATGGACAACAATTTATGCTGAGAAAATGAAATCTAATATTGTCATGATACCTTAGTATGGAGGCGCAAATCTAATTGATGATTAGAAATATTTTTTCAATCCTATGTATGTATTTCTTTATTACGTTACTTGGGTGGGTGTGGGTTCGGGTATGTGTCGATGCGGGCGTGAGTATGTTAGAACAGAATACCAATACCAACATCCACCGGCACCCACACTCACACCTGCACCAACATTCACACCCGCACCTACACCCCACACCCATCCATACCCCACATCCCACAACCTTTATATATTTCATTGATTAAACAGACAATTTTTTGAGAAACATAAAGAACACGAAAAACATTCTCGTTGAAAACTTTAACATGGTTCGATGCAAATGCTCAAATTCATTTCTACAAGTAAATGAATAATGATGCGCTGTAATTTACAAGGATCTTGTCTGTAAGGAATGAATAGTCCATTTTTTTAAATAAGAATAATGACACTTTGCTTTCAGAGTATCATATTTGACAATCAATTTGGGCAGCTGACGTTTTCAATATTTATACATGCAAACTCATCCAACAAGATTCTTCAGCACTGCTACGATACGCAATATGAGAGTCGTTCTCACAAACATTAGTAAATGGCCATGCACAAAAGGAAACCAGACATGTCAGAGAAGATAATGCAAGTAGAGGAGGTGAAGGTAGGTCATTGTACAAACACAGAATTCATATGCTGAAGTTCGACATGTATTTGATGGCACTAAAGCTTGATTTGTTGTGCCTTCAGGAGTCACTATTATCTGATATAAAATATTATGAAAAATTCAATGCTAAGATGCTAATTTCTCGTTAACTATAAACACTCACTGAGCATGAATTCATGACAGCATCATCGAGTTCAGAGAGATATTGCTCGTTGTTGTACAAACTTGGTGAGAATGAAGTACCACATTCTGGCCCTCCGTGGCATTTGTAGCATCGGATAATTCCATTTACTTGACCTGTGATTATTGCTTAAAGCGATATGTATATAAACTTCTCTTGAACTCTATTGACGCCATTACTTACTTTGAACAAATATCCAGTAAAATACGACAAGCTGTTTTTCTCCCGTTTTCATAAAATATGACGTGACTGCTAAACGATTCCGTTTCGTGTTTAAAAATGAATTTGGAAAATTTGTTTAGTTATCGAAACGATGATTGAAAAAAAGAAGCATATTTTCTCTCAAGAAATATTAAGCTGATACGTTAAAGCTTCGTTCTCTTCTTAAATGTAGGTCAGTCTATAATAAATGTATCAGCATAAAGTTAGAAACTAATCTTGTATTACAAAAAAAGACATCTACTATCAGTATTTGAAAATATAATTAAAATCGACATTCAGCATTGATGCTGCATTTGATTTTTTCTTTTTGCAGGAGATGATCGATTTGACTTTCGTGCCAATATCGAAGATGAGCCATTACACTCATTACAGGACACGTGAGCACATGAATTGTCTTACTATACAAAAAATCTCCTTCTGTCCTACGATAAAGAGAGAAGAGCCAGATGGACATTAGAAGAAATGGCTTACCTACACATGTACTCTCTCACTTGACAGACGCTTTCAATTCCTTAAGGAGAACGAGATGGTAGCCTGCGACACATGTCAACATCTCCTTTATGACAATGTATATTCTTTCACTTGCTTGGCACAATTTAAATCTTTCATTTCATGTTTGTTATAGTCATACACAAATAAGAGTAAAACAAAGATCTGAGCGAGTGATTCATATTGCAAGCTTATACCCAACTACAAATGACAACTATCCTTCTCGAGAGATGAAAAAAGAAGTTTACAACAGTGATACTGTTTGTGTGTCTACATGAGTGATGCTTACTTGTTGCGAGAGATAAGAATAGAACAAATACTATTCGAATGATTCGTAGATTATATTGTATTTCTCTCATCTACACTCATAAATGAGAAGTATGACTGAAATCGATACTGACAATTTTACTTATCTGATTGAAAAGTTGTGTCATCGCCTTGACGTACATTTAATTATTTACCACATGTAAGTGATAAATAAACTGATGATTTTTTGGATTGTTGAGAGTAGGAGAGTTGACGGTATTGAAAACTATTTTAGGTTCGATTTCGATCTCTTTTAAGATCGACTGTTTTCGGAATTTAATAGGGATACAGTTGTTTCTTAGTAAAGTCTATTCAGTAATTTGCACTAGAGGTATATGATATAAAATAACGATTTACTAGGTAGGGTCCTACTAGGATGTGAGTCTAGAAATTATAGTACAATACTTATTCTATTTCTTTTTACAACCATTGCTAATACTCATAAATATCTTGAACATTTGACTTGTTCCTTGGGCTATTTAGTCTTGGAAATACTGTTTTTTTGTGAGCAAGTCCGAATAAGTTTACTTCACGAACACTAGCACAATTATACATTCGTCTAAAACTGGTTTGAACTAAAAAGTGAAAAGTAACACTAAAAATCACTTTGTAAATTGGTTTACTCGTAAGATTTAGTGAAACGGATTTCAACAATCGATAGAGCATGTAATCAGCTAAATCTCTCGTAAAGTTCTGATATATATATAATGCTCTTCAACGGAAATTTGTACCCATATAAATATTTACTCAATGTTGATTAAATAATGAACTATTCATAAAATAGAAGTATATAATTGTGTAGTAAAATTGTTCGTTTTTTTAATCGTTTCTCTATAGAAAATATTATCGAATTAATTGACTGACCAGATGAAAAAAATGTTAACTATAATTAATAAAGTTCAAATAAAAGCAGTATTGGTTAGTTCTATTATTCATATAGAAAATCATCGTTTGCAACAACTTATGCTTGATGAGTTTTGTTCAATTTATTTATTTTTTTCATAATCATTACAATGCTTATGAGTTGCTTCTTAAACGATTTTATTCAGATGTTTTACCTTATAGTTATAACAATATTTAATCATCCAAAATCATTTGTAAACTTTTTTTTGTCGTCGTTATACTGTAACATCTTTTATCATAAGTAAATTATCATTCATTTCGAATTTCAGACTTAAGGGTATGATTCTATATAGATCATCAAGCTACCCACAACAAACTGATGCTAAATATTGATTCATAACATGACTTTAGATTTCATTCAAATCTGGGAAATCATATCCCTGAAATGTCTTTCGATTCTCAGTATTTCAAAATATTTAATCGAATTGTATGAGGACTAACTTGGTTAATAACCATCATGATATTTAAATCGATCTAATTATCATCAATGGTCGGGTAGAGTGTGGGTGAAGGTAAGGATGAGAGTGCGTGTGTGCATGCTAGTCTTTGCTCTATCCACACCCACACTCTTCATATATCTGACTATCTCAAGCACGTTTTTCTCAAAAGTGTAATTTGTTCTCTTTGGTTTTTATAATTTGAAAACAAAGCTGTCAACAAGCAGTTCTTCTTTATTACTGATTGTTAGTCAAAAGAAAAACAACCAAGATCGATGGTTTCTACCACTGAAGTCGTGAAAGATCTTGGCAGTTCTAATCAGGCAAACATAATCTGGTAAATTGACCAGAATTCATTGTAAATGTTCGTTTCGACGTTGCAAACGTATAAGAACTTTTGTAGGCGAAATAACCATAACTTCGTCAAGTTCTTCGAATGGCTGTTGGGTCTGTTTGCCACAGTCTATAATCGAATAGATTCTAAGCAGTCGAATGAGTGCTATTTTCATTTCCATCAATGCAAATCGCATTCCAACACAGTTTCGCGGTCCAGCACCAAATGGAATCCATGCGAGTGGATGTCGCTTAGTGGCAAATCGTTCCGGATAGAATGTGTGCGGATCGACTGGACCCCAAAGATCAGAATTAAAGTGCAAACTATAGATATTAGCAGAAATAATAGTACCAACAGGAATAGTGCCCACATTGTTAATGTAAAACTCCTTGATACTCTGCCGATTGATTATGCTTGGCGAGATTGGATACATACGAAGAGTTTCTCGAATGAACATATCTAAATAGTTCATTTCTGAGACAACTTCATAGCTCGGTAAGCTATGCTCGTTATTTGAATCGAAATAGGCATCGATATGTTGTTGCAATTTGAGTTGTTCACTTGGATGAGTCGCAAGAACATAAGACATATAAGCAAGTGCTGTACTCCCAGTTTCATGGCCAGCGACCACTTGAAAATACAAATAATAAAAAGAAAAAAGTCAGGCAAGACATCAAAATAACTCACTAAAGAGAAAGATATTTGATGCAATTTCATATTTTGTCAGTTTTCGAATGAGTGGCGGTTCTATATCAGTGTCCGCAGTCGTAGTTGATTTTGCTGGTCGATCCTTTAGAATTCAAAAATAAAACATCATTCTAAATCTGGTAATAATTCTCAAGCCTTTTTCTTCTACAATTTTATCAAGATTTCACAATGACGGCAGTAGGCCAAGTTTATCTCTTTTTTTGCTGTGACGGTCTCTGACAAAGATAGAATTCAATTAGAAATAAAACAAACTTCGTACTTCAATGAAATCGTCATCCGAAACTGATTCAAGCATCAATTGCAACAGATCCATTCGATCTGTGCGGCCTAATTTGATACGTTGTTTGATCAATTGTTCTGCCTGTCTTTTAATCCATATTTGTGGATCATCACTGATCAATCTTCGCGTGACAGGTAGATAATGTTGAAGCCAATATCGAATGGTAGAATCACATTGATGAAATTTCATCCAGAACCATTTAAGCTCAGGCATGAAAAGAGATAAAATTAACAGTTTCGATACACAATTTTCTTTGCTCAGTACTCGTTGTGACTGGATAAGATATGGATTGTTTGGGTTATTTTGCATATCTGCCTCTATACCGAAACCACATGACCAAATTGTGTCCATTGTAAAACGTTTAAAAAAACCAAAGATGTCAAATGATTCACCATGTCGATGTTGTTCATCTAATTTTTTCATGAGGCTATCGACAGTTCGATTGATCAATGAGGACATTTGCTTGAGTTTTGAAAATGAAAATGTTGGGTTTATGACAAATCTTTGTCTTTTCCAACGAAGATTGGTAGCAGTAAATAGATGAATGTTTTTTGATTTAGGATCATCAAATGAATAATCGCGACGCGAATGAAATTTAGAGAACGATTTGATGAATACATCTTGTAAAATGTCTGGATCGGCAATGACAAGAACAGGTGTATGTCCTTCAAAGTAGCCAAATATACGTCCATACTTCTCAGTCCATTCTTGAATCGATAATGAAAAGCGTTTGCTTTTGAGAATATCCAAGAAGTTACCGAAAAAAAATCGTGGTGGTGGACCAGGAATTTCAAGACGAGTGAAGAAGCTATAAGCTTGATGAATATGCCATCCATAAGCAATGATTAAAATGAGCAATAAAGCGACCAGAATACTAGTCAGCATGACCATACTCTACTTCTATATGTGTATTGCGTTTTGTTATCATTCAAAATATCAAATAAAGCATGGTTGTTTCTTTTTGTTCTTTTCTTCCAATTCTGTTATGTTTTTGCATGAAGCAATTGACACGTGCGATAAAAGACACGTCATGCCTTTTGCTTTTCTTTATTATGCTTTAATATGCTACACTCGTAAGTGTTTACATGATAATATAAAGAGAAATTAAGGTATTTCAACACTGAATAACAACATAAATACAATTAGTTTTATCGTCATCACCAATATCTTTATATCAAGTGTTAACTCAGCTGGCATAGGAGTTAGAAAGTAGCTACAGAAACAGAAGAAATGAAGACAAGAACAAAAATGAAAAGAGAAAGGTAAAAAAGAACGCATTTTAGCTGAGGTGCAGCAAAAAAAAACAGTGAAGGAAGATGTACGTATGCATTTCAAGGTCAGAGAAAAAAGAAAAAAGCAAGTGAGAGAGGTATAGAGATGATATATAGACTTCAGTAATGTCGGATTAACATGATTAATTTTTTACAGGCTAAATAATATGTTGAATTAGTAGACGACCGTTTTCTATCAATTTGATACCGATATTTTCGAGTTTTTCTTCTATTCATTTTATTATTTTCATGCATAGAGACCAGGTTTAGTTCGATAAATAATATTCCACAACCTTCAATTCATCATTTAATTATTGAACATTGTTTAATAGATGAAAAAGAAATAGATACTCTTACTCCTCAGTTGTCATATGTTAGATATTTAGAATTATTATTTCCATTGGAAAAAGACTCTTCAGTCTTGATGGTACTACTGGAGAATGCCCCTTTTGGTCTGAAGTGGTTTGTTTTTGCACAGTAATAAACTATCAACAAAGAAACTTGATTTATACCAATTGTTCTGGTTCAATGTTCTCTATTTGACTTTGATTTTCTTTATTAATATTATCCTTGTTCAGTCATCGTTAGAAATTATTTCGTTAAAAAAACTTCAATTTAAGAAATACAATTCTTCTCAATCTGTTGATTTCTGTATATTAAACCTGCGAAAAATGAAAACTACAATTTTCACTATGAAAAACCTCATCACTCAGAAAAATCTGTCCTATTATAGATGTCTATCTGACAACTTCTGTATTTTTCAGTGTCGGACTCGCTAGTTCGTTCTTTTCAATTGTGAGAGAGTTCGTATAAATTCATCAAAAATAGCCAAAATAGACTACTAGGAATATCTACAGGAAACTGCTGAGTATAATTCTCTAGTTTGATGATAACAAATGTATTGTAAGATGTTTCGAAACAATGTCTAACTTATCAATCTATATTTATCTTGCGTTACCTCATGACCAAAAAACACAGTTATTATTCTGTTCTCTCATGTACCTTTCACAATGATGGTTTTAACTCTAGTGTATTCCTGATGAGTTTTTTCAATTTATTTAGTAGTGAACTTCGTGTTCAACTGATGAATTTTGTAATGTTTGTTTCATTAAGAATACTTGTCAATTTTTTTTGTATTCAATGATTGTTTTGATTAGCAATATAGAAAGAAATTTGGTAGTCTAATGTCGCATCTAAAGATGCATTAAATTGCTTGCTATCATTTCGTGCTATACTGACGTAAGTTCTATCCGAAGGAAGTACTGCTATTAAAGCTACAAATAAAAATAAATTATTATTTTTATGTGAAATGATAGATACTCATGTATTCTATTGTAGATGACAGAATTTTGTTCTATTTAATTTATTTGTTTAAGGAATTTCAAATTATGTATTTACTGCTGTTCAATAACAATCATGATTATTTTATGGTTTTTTAAAGATAGGAATAGAAGAAAAAGTATTCTTATTTATTGGTCTTCGTATTGGGTTTTGTGCAAGAAGGTGAATAGAATTGAAGTTATAACAATATCGAGAATAATAACACCACTGATTGATATTGTCACATATTTACTTGAACTTCCGTATTCAATATGAATAGAAGAATGAATGTATGATTATGGATAAAAAAACAATAATTATCTCATTTTTTCTTTTCGTTAGTCTTAATATTTAGATGATATTCGATTATTATATTTTCCATTCAATTTAGCTATGCATTTTTCGTCGAGTTTTATTTCAGTGATAATTTTACAGATAAATGCATAAACACATGTGATACCTTGTGTGAACATCACGACAATCATTATTAACAATATATTATGTTTATTTTAATTAACTTCCTTCTAAAGAAAAAAAGGTTTTATTTATTAATATCAAATAAACTTAAGGAACGTATTCTTTTTTTGTTTTTAATATATTTATCGAAAAATGATCTCATATACTATTGAATACTGTCAGTAAATTATGTTGTTTTTCCAAGTTTTGTTTTCGTTGCACAATAGCCATTCAAAGTGTATTGACCAGACTTGAACGATAATAATATAACATAACGAATGATTTTAACCAAATAATTTCTGTTCTAATGCAAAGCTATCTCATGATTGTATTTGTATCAAATATATCAAATAGTTTTACTTGTGATAAATATCGGCATTGTCGATACATTTTTGTAATACTAAAAGGCCGTAATGTAACGTGCGATGCAAAAGGAATGGCACAAAGTGTTGACCCTTATTTCTCCTCGACAGAAGGAAGCTGAAAGAAAAATTTTTTACTAAAAGATAGAGCTTTTTCTCCTCTTTCGAATCGTATATAATATACTTTTATAACACCTTTGTACATGAAACAAAGTAATAAAAAAGAGAGACATCCTCAAAACCAATCCGCACTTTTCGTATAATTTAGAAAAACAGCCGAAAGACTTAGTTCCAATATCTTGTGAATAACTCTTCAATAAACACAGTTTGAAAAGAAAACTTTCTCCTCTTTCGAACGGTGTATGATTTATATTTGTCATATATTCATAAATAAAAGTAGCCGAAGAAGAAAGGGAAAGATTCTCGCAATAAATTTTCAGTTTTTATATGAATTAGTCAAAAACATCTTATTAAAGAAAAATTAATCTGATTTCCGTGTACTCATCAAAAAGCCCTTGTCAAACGGTGGTTATGTCGACTTTTATGAACTCGTTAGAAATAGCTTCTAAAACAACAGTTAATTGTACTTAACTGCCGTATACCAACGTTTTCGACTAATTAGTATAAAAATTGCCGACGTATTGCGCGAGTCTGTCTCTTTCTTCTTCGGCTAATTTGATTTACGAACGTGCGACAAATATAAATCATACACCGTTCTAAAGAGGAGAAAATTTCCTATCTGTTGATTAGAAAGTTTTCTTTTTAGAACGTACCCATGAAACAGATATAAGGATCGACATTTTGTATCGTTTGTTTATAGAAAAGTGCGGATTTATTTAGAGGACATCTCTCTTTTCTATTACTTCGTTTCATGTATAAAAGTGTTATAAAAATATATATATACGATTCGAAAGAGGAGGAAAAGCGCTATCTTTGAGTAAAAAAAGTTTTCTTTCAGCTCCCTTCTATCGAGGATAAATAGGGGTCAACATTTTGTGCCATTACTTTTGCATCGTACGCTGTATATATGTGTTTGTTTTTGTTTAAATAATAATAAAATAAACATGAAATGACAATATGCTGTTTAAGTAGTCTTTATTTGAAATAACAGATGAGTTGGACAGCGAAGATGAATATGTTAGATTTTGAAAAGATGATTTTTTTAAGATTAATATACCTATTTCTTCGCATTTTTCATAAATATTGACTAACAGTGTGTATACCATTAGTTATATTGAATACTTTTTCTTAAATTAGTCAAAGTTAGTTATGCTTTCGTCTACACGAATGAGATTTTCCATGTTTTTTTTGAATTATTGCAAGAAACTGTTACCCATTGAAAATTAAGAGAAACTTTAAGATGTTCATCTGTCGGCGTTGCCAATATGAGACAGTCTGAAAGGTCAGGTAAGATTATTAAAATAACTACTATAAGGTGTGTCGACTCGGGTGATGAAAACTTTAAACCTTGATGATATATACTGCCAATTGGTGTATCAAACTTTCTGTATTTCACCAAAACTGTTGAAAGCAGGGATGTTAGCCGATGCATACATTGGCGGAGATGGTAGTTTAAGAGTCTTCATTTTATATCTCATCATATGCTTTTCGAATAATGCCTGATCTATTTTGATTTAACAAATATTTATGAAGATATGCTTATGTCATATTTGTTGTTATCAATAGTGTTATATTTTCTATGTCCTGACCAGGCCATTGATTATGCCAAATTATTTTTTTATTCAATAAGACCATGTTGTATGAAGCATTATACTGGATCAGATCTGGTTCAACCAGTAATACATGGTAAATTATGGATGTGGGTGTGAGTTTATTGCAATCTCTTTACCCACGCTCACATTCGACACTCACCCAAACCCACATCCACACACTCGAAGTATTTTATGTTTTTGTAATCTATTGAACAACAACTGGAGAACACACAACATGAACATAATGAATGCATTTATTGATAGAATTAGAGAATTGAGAATATACAATAAGAAAGCAATAAGAAAAAGAAAATTCTCGAAGAATCAGAAAAACATAAAGGAGGATGCAAACAGTCAATAGCAAGATATGAAAACATTAGCAGCAAAAAAGCTAAGTCTATTGAAGCAAACAACTTTTTTTTTAGGTTATACATTCAAAACAAAACGCTACAGTAAAATAATTAGCATAAGTATTTAAAAAAATACAGACGGTCAAGACAACAATGGGATAGTACTGCAATGAATTTTAGTAAATAGATTTGAATCGCATGAAAAGAAAAAACGAGCTCTATAGATGTTGATTAACTAAAAAGTGTCTGTTACATCAAGCTATATATATTTACATTGGAAGAAGTTTTCTGGGGTTCATTAAACTAAAATCTTATCATACGTCTTCCACTACAAAAACTGAAAAATTTATGAGTTCTAGTTTTACTAATCAAATTATTGATTATAATAAGTTACAATTTTAAGAAGTATCACCCAGTAACTTACGAATTTTTTCTAGGTACGTATTTGCTTTATGTTTTCTTATCATCTCTAGTTGCCATTTATTTCCAAGTTTATGACGACTTTTATTATCTAATAGGTTTATGAAATCCTTGTCTTTTTCTTTTTCTTGTAGGTATTTCACAAAGGGTTTTAAGTTGTCTTTTTCACTGAATGCCTTTTCGATCACATCGCACCAACAGCTAACTGTATACCAGAACCAAGCTCGCTTAGCTGCATCAAATAGAACAATTGTTAAAAATCTTTCCCAAGTGTTCTTCCGAAATTGGTCATTAAGAGTCTGCCTATTAATCTTAACGATTGATTTAACCCATTTACTGTAAGGATATTCATATGGATTATTTCCAGAGGTTAATGGCGGATTCCAACCTACAGCTAATGACCAAAGGAGTTTTGCTGATGTTTGCGATTCTTTTTCGAAAAAATCTATACTACTGCAAATCAGAAACTGATTTTCAAGTGGAATGATAGGAACTGGGATAGTATCGGAGCTATTGAATTTTTCAGCATACGATTCATATTCGTGGATATTTTCTAATATAACAAAAGACCTAGGCCACAGATTGAAGTTTCTGATCGATTCACACAAGATTTTTAGTATTTTAACAAATAGAGTTTCGTCTCTATATATTTTCTCTATTAAATTTTTTGTCTCGATCTGTTCAGCATATCTAACGTCGGCACAAAGTAAACTATATTTTGGTTGATATAATGCTCTGAGTATTGATTTGTATTTAACGCGAATTTTTTTTTCTAACTGTGTGCCACTTATACTGTAACATTCTAGAAAGCTTTTTTTACGATCGTCTTCGCTAGCATTTTTTTGGATGTTTGGATATCCAAAGTGCACTGGTAAGAAAGGAATTACAAGTGAGCGAAGATGTACATGTTGTCGCTCGAAAACCAATTTGTTATTGTCGCTGTGTTGTACAATAAAATGCAAGGCGGCAGTTGCTACACTTCCATGTGGACAAACAGCATAGAGTGCACATTGAATTTGTTCTTGTGTTGGACCCGTGCGTTGATTAGGTTTATTATTAATAAGTAGCTTTCCACTTGTCATGCGAGGAATAGTTATATCTTTTTCAGTGTTCGTATGAATAAAAATTTCGATCTTTCTATTTGTTATACTTTTATCAATATTTTGGAGGTCCGATATTACTTTTGAATTGTTTACATCAATATTCGGAAGAAAGCTGAATATTGTAGCTTTCGAAGTGTTCTTTGTAATAAACTCTCTTATAGTGCTCAGCAAGAAATTCGGAACACCTTTACGATTATTTGGTACTTCAGAACAAAATAAAAAACTTTCATTGTCTTTCGTTACTTGCATGCATGCACCTTGACCAGGAGTATCGTTCATTAGTTGCGAATATACATTTTCACATGCATTATGTACCAACTCAGATCGCTGATCCTTAAACAATTTGTCATACTCGATCTTAAATTGTTTGTAAGGCAATGAACGAGTTACATAATAACATGCTATTACTACAGGTCCTACAAGTTGACACTGGTTTTTCCAATCGTCATCAGAATCTCGACTTTCATCGTCATCAAAATCTCGACTTTTAGAAGGAGGTATTTTTAATTTGTACAATGTTTGATAATATTTCAAGCAAGGATATAAATCTATATCGCTACGTGGTATCCTAGCAAGAAGCATTCGTAAAACATCTGGATGTACAATGATATCCGTGGGAAAATAATCGCCTTCATTGATGTCTCGCACTGCGCTTATTTTCTGAGATTCCTCTTTTGGTAAAGCTTTTCCATATGTAAAGCAGAAACGCTTTGAATTTTTAATCATATTTTTCAAATGATTTTTCGTTATAAAACGAGTAGTAATTGCACGACAATATTCTGCTGCTAAAGAATGATGTTCCTGATGTTCTAATGGACATTTGTCAATAGGCCATATTCCGTCATCATCAGTAGATAGAACGATTGGAACCTTAATTTTGTACAAGTGAGATAAAGGCTTTTCGTTTTCTACGTTTCTAATAGCATCACCAAGAAGGTAAAAGTTACTAGTTATATTCACTTCGAAAGGAATACATGACAATAATGATTTAGCATTTTTTTGCATTTCAGCGACCAGAACACTAGATTTTCGAAATTTATAATTTTTGATAGACAGTAACTTGTCAAAAGCAATCCCATGACCCACACGAATATTAGACTGTAGTTTTCGTTTGAGGAAATCAAGACAACGGTAAACAATGTACATATGCGCTGCGAATAGACGATAACCAGGTAATTCAGGACGAACGAAAGGTACATTTTCTGCACAATGGATGCGTATACCAAAACTACTATTTTCTTCTATAGCATATTTAAGAAACTGTAGAAATTCATCAGCAACAAAAGGACAATAAGGATATCCAAGTTCATCTCCAAACAAATCTAGTCCTACAACCCAATGAAAGAAAACTTTCCCATTTGCTCTGGCCTCCTTCTCCATTTTCTGAAGTTGTTTTACCTGCTCACTGAATATAATACTTGGTCTCTTATTGTGACTTCTATAGAATTCTCTTTGCATAACATGAATCGCATTATGCGGTACTTCAAATAAAAATGCAACGGCTTCGTCAACTGAATAACCATGACTGACTCGTGATATTCGACGATTAAATCCTGCCAGAAATCGATAGTCAATAGCTCGTTCAAAACCATCTGTTTTGAGCCATGGAAAATGATTGTTATTAACTAGTTTTTTTAATTCACTGATTGGTTCAGCATTAGAAAATGTCAATAAAATATCAAATATCCAAGGACGACTTAAATCACCACAACCAACAGAAAATTCACAATATTTAATTGGTGGTGAACATGTTGAAAAACGGTAGAGAGCGTTTCGTAGTAAAAATGCTAATAAATCAAGTCGCTGAGAATATATCGAGTCTTTCAAAGCAAATCGTCGTGGAAAAAACTCTGGTGTAAATGCACCACGAAACGAATGAAAATCGACTGAACGTGGCGCACTACCATCTGCGTTCATCATTGAAAATGCATTTATAATGTGTGCTCGAGCATCACGTTGTGCTGGATCAGTTATTTCATTAATCGGCTTTGCTTCACCAATGAGTATACGTAAATCTTTTGCTTGCATACCATATATAATTTCTAATATTTGTTCTCGTGCATTAAATATGATCCAATCATTAAAAAAGTGCTCTTCTTGCCAATTACTTCTTGTGTAGACACCTAGTTTTTCTTCTACTATAGCCTGAGTCAAATCTCTCGGCTGCTTTTCTTTCAGTCCAAGTCCTTTAGCAAGATTATTCAATGATAAAACAATATCGTATGAAAAATTTTTCTTAAATGACAAGCCACGATGTTCCAGCTTTTGAAAAAATTCTATGGATACCAAATTCATTAATCCAATGGAGTATTTATGTCTTTCTAATACTTTTAAATCACAGTCTTCCCGAAGATGATCGAAAAACCTTTGTGTTTCTTCTCTGGAAATAAATGTTCGCTTTTCATTATTCCAAACCAATGGTCCTAATTGAAGTCTTAAACGGTCGCTGTTGAGAAAATTATCCTGAGTAGGTAACTTTTTCTGGTCAGTTAAAATACTCTGGACCCAGAACGAAGCATTACCCATACCCAAAAGATGTGTATGTAATTCATATAAACATTTTTGTTCATTCAGGCATTGTAGTAAGCCTGCTGCGTCGTATTCTTCTTCGGCCGACTCTAAAAATATGAGGCTAAGTGACTCTCTCATTACAAGCAAATCTTCAATTGGCTTACTTGTTCGTTTCCGTTTATTTCCTACCATGCCGTCCATTCCTCTACTTTTTTTTTCGTCTACAAAAACAAAAATAAAGAGTCGTACTACCGGTTGTTATGCATCAGAATTCATTGATTGTCTTATTCTTTCTAACCATAATAATTTATTTATTTCAAAGTTAACTTAATCACCAATGTTAACTTCATGTATCCAAAGAATGATAGAGATTATTAAAAAAATGTTCATATAGAAACAAAATCAGAATCAGAACCAATGAAAACATTTAACTGAAGTCGGAACCGGAAAACATTTTAAAGGAGACCCGAATCATCAAAAAACTAACCGATGCAGGAACCAAGACCAAAAAAAAGTGATCCTGCAGTCCCTAATCATTGTACGAAGTACATATGGCAAGACGCATGACGCATTACGAGGGCATATTCTTAATGACCACTAATCTGAAAAGGACGTCTAAAGTAGTAAAAGCAAGCCCCTAACTAGAAATTTTCCCACGTTTACGGCGGGGTTATCTAAACAATCCTTAAAACTTCTGAATGGTTGAGAGCTTGATAGAACTCAATTTTTATTCAAGCGGAGTAATGCAAAACACAGTTTAACTGAACCATATCATTTTAAAACTGGGTGTGGGTGAGTGTGAATATTCCCTTTTCGACACCCCTACCGCACACCTACACCTTTTTTATTCGTAACCTTAGATCGCAAATTTTTTTTCATAAAAATTCACTATTCGGGTTCAATATTATGCTCCATAAGTTTCATCTCGGTCCCATGATTTGAAGATGAGATCCAGTACATAGAAAAATCCTCGTTACGCCACTGATGTGAAGTTAATTTTCCAAATGTATCTCACTTATCTAATATACTAGATGTTTCAAGACAACTGAAAAAACTGATAAAAGACGAAGTCAATTACTAGCTTACTCAATTTCTCTCAGAAAAAGCAATGAAGAAAAGGATATAGTTAATTGTAAAGAAGAATAATGTTATCAATTGTTCGATGTTTTGACGAAATGCCTATGTGACGATTTTTGTTTAGAAGAAGTATTAGCGCTGATGAAATTACGTTTTGTTATGTTTCTTCTGATTAAGAATCGCATTATTTATATACAGAGTACACGTTTATTTATGCAACCAGAAGAGAGGAAAACACAAATAGAATAGAGGAAGAAAATACGGATAACAGGAAGGAAAATAATGAGAAAGAAAGGATATAACAATGTCGTTACAGGGTATTCATTGTTCAAATAACTAAATGATCAAAAATAAAATAAAACTCAACCAATTTATTCGAGTTTGACTCATAAAGTTTGACAGAATACTTTCAATATCTGAATGAAGAAAAGAGCAGATGAGTTTGTCTGCGCATTGCATTGCTGCTATAAAATGATCGCAATTATCTAAAGAAACGAACGACGAAAAATGAGATATGTTATTAGATTTGTTAGTGAAAATGTGCTTGGAATCATTTAGATAACTAAGAGGAAGAAAAGGCAAGTAAACAACAGTAAGTTATTCGATTTCGTTTGAGAACAAGATTAAGATTAGCGAGCTTTCTAAATTAAGACGAGAAAGATCAAGCGATCTAATGTTCTTCAGTTTTTGTTTTGAGACAATGCAGAATTATGGAATTGTGCTACTTAGAAAAATTAATAAAACTGACAATTGTCTATTGATAACGTGTTACTAACCTGCAGCCTTTGCACTTCTCACAACCAAATATTTTTTTATCAATTCTACATTTAAATACTGACTCTGAAATGAAAAATAAAATTGACAAGCAAAATAGAGAAATCGCAAAATTTCACATCCGACTTCCAAAGTTAATGATAATAATAATAATGGTACCATATTGTAACGATAAAAGGAGAGAAGATGTAATGACAGACTGGAGGAGTAGCTTACCGCCACCCTCGATAATGATGTTTATTAGCTACTTCACATCTCCAGAATGTGTCTATTGCACATTCAACACACACTTATATATGATACAGAAACAATGGGAGAGAGACGACACAGAGAGAACAGTAGAGAGAGAAAGAGGAAAGAGGAAAGAAGAAGAGCAGCGAGCCGTGACGCATATATCGGCACACCCTCCCACTCAGATGAGACGCGCTCCTGAGCGTCTTTACAATTTAGAAAAGAAAAACAGAAACGATAAAAAATAATTAGATGAAAGAAAGAATACATCAAAACAAGTTCATTGATTGAACTTCATCGTAGAAAATACAGTCATACACGAACGACAATATCGACTTTCATACATAACTTCATATCAACACACGTCTTCACAGTATCATAGCATCGAGTCACGAACAGAGCAGTCAAGAAAAAGAGGAACAAGCTTTTTAAAGGAGTGATCATCACATTTCAAACTCATAAATTCGGCAACACCTTTCAAATATAAATAGAAGATCAGTCAACACGAACACAGCATACAAATAATGATCGTCACAGCTTCAATCATCGCACAAAAAAAAAATTTTGACAGAGCACACAGAAATGAAACAATATAGAAATATAGAATTCATAACACGCATATGATCGGTCACACTTTTTCGCACATTTTCACATTCGTAGGACGCAATGTCGAACAACAACACATATCAATTTTAGAGAACGAGAAAAAAACACAAGTCATCGGTTACACAAGCTTAGTATAATTTTAACCATAAGTAGACATAAATATTCTAATTCATACAGGATAGAAACTCTTGTCTAGTGCATAAACGATACCTAGAACGGTTTCTTGTTTTGTCTTACTTACTAGATTATTACAAAAACGAACACATAGCTTATAGAAAAATATCGCATCATATTTCGATTATCTACATGATCGAACATAAAAGATTACCATTTAACCCATCTTCTATTTATGTTTCGCCGGAGAAGAAGAGAGAAAAAAAAAATTCACACTTTCTAATCAGTATCATCACTATAATTACTTTCGTTTTAAATTCTTCACTGGCTTCAGGCCTTTTAAGGATAACATCTTCATTTAATTTTATGTTTCTTCTAATATTTGATTGTTACGCATCGTTAGTTAGCAAGATGTTTAGCTGAATAACTGTTGGTGGTGATTGACAACACGAAGTGAATATTGATGATGAATGAATATCAATTGTTTACAGCTGATACACAATCAATTTGATGTTCATCGATATCCATTTGTTCTGTTGCTGCTTCTTTTTTTTTTTTATTTTGTTTTGGCAGAGAAAATAAATTTGAATTACGTGAGAAATGACTCAGGGATTCGAGGAGAAATGACATGAAACGTACAGATATTACAAAGGAAAGTGCGCCAACCCTACGCACTGCCGGCCCGCGATCTAGCCGCCCTTTAGTACGTCCACTGATGGTCTGTGACAGTGCCCCACAGACTTAAAACACTGCCATGTCATTCAACTCTAATCGCCGCATGCATTCATCACTCATTCAAATTATTTATCATACCTTGATATTCACTTGTATCTTCAATGGAAGTTTGATAATTTTGAATTCTTCTTGATTCTGGAATCTTCCAACTTCGTTTCAGAATATGCATGTATTCGCTCGCCAGGGTCGACATGTAACGATAAAAGGAGAGAAGATGTAATGACAGACTGGAGGAGTAGCTTACCGCCACCCTCGATAATGATGTTTATTAGCTACTTCACATCTCCAGAATGTGTCTATTGCACATTCAACACACACTTATATATGATACAGAAACAATGGGAGAGAGACGACACAGAGAGAACAGTAGAGAGAGAAGGAGGAAAGAGGAAAGAAGAAGAGCAGCGAGCCGTGACGCATATATCGGCACACATATGGGTTTACTTAACGATACTTTACAATTGTGGGTCTCGTCATTTTTGTAATATATTTTATTCGTTCTCAAAAACAAATAACAAAGTCGATGACGAGAAGCAGATGGCTGACAAAGAAGACTCGTTTTCGACTTTATTCGGCACATAAAAGAAAGTATATAGCCATGATAAAGAGAATAGTCAATACAACAAAGATACAAATACGCTTTTTCTTCTTTGATTTATCTAGTGTATATGTCATTATTAAGAATAATTTCATAAATAAACTAGTCAACAAAGGTCAAAATCTAATTATGTCATCATGGAAGAAGTTTTCTTTCTAATTTTTCAATGACAAAAAAGAGAAAAACTATATGGATCGTGTATAGAGTAATGCTAGAATAAATGTGTGTAAACTAGATGTGTACCCAGATAGACTGCAACGATTTATGATATAGGGAATGTTTATTCAGATCAAAATGTACAAATTCTCTTTCTTTATATGGGGTGTGTGTGTACTTACAGATTACTTTTATACACATACTCATTCACCCCCACACCCTTATTTATTCGTTGTATTTCAAAAAGAACAATATCGACAAGTTGACTCTTGTTTTATTCTTACGTCTTTTTATTTTTATCCATTCGAATAGTTCAATTAAGAAGAAAGATATTTCTCAAATTAAAATTCTCATCGATGACACTTTCAAAATTTCTTCATTCGCTTTTTCGTGGATTTTCATTTGATCTGAAACTGACTTTTAGAAGATCAGTATTTTCAAATGTTATTCACAACATATCGAATCGAAAACAAATAATCAAAAAAAGTCGATCTTTTCTTGAACGAGCGAGACATTAGTAAAATATTTTCTTCACCCGAAATTTTATTTTCACAAAAATTCTTTTAATAGATCCATAAATTCGAAGAATTAAACAATTAGTTATTGAAAAAAGTAATTCTTAAAGAACATCACTTCTTCATATTTGATCAAATATTTCAATTCGTTTGAAATTGTCCTTACGAATTTCATTTGACCTTGATTTAATCTTTAGAAATGAAAATATTCCTTTATTATATTTCACACTAAGATTTCCAATCGATTGGAGTTTATCATTATGTATTTTAATGAGTTTTTTGTTAAACGACAATTGTTCTTCTTCAACATGGTCAGACTTAAGAAAATCAAATGATTTTGTATTAATTTTTTTTTTTTATTGATTCAGAGTTTAATCCTTTCTGATGCTCTTTATTCAATTAGTTCAAATCTTTCTTGTTTAGTAAATAATGCAATTGATCTAGTGTAGAGAAAAATTCGTTTGTTAAAACGACGATCAAATAAAATTACGAAGTTCGTTATTAACTGTGAAAATCTTTTTTAATTGATTTAATCAAATTTCAATTATATAAGACTAAAAAAAATATTCAAAATTCAAATAAATATTATAGAAAGAAATATTGTGTATAAATCTAAAATTATTCTGAACAATAAATAATACTTCTTTGAAAAACTATTTCATATTGATAAAGTTTTCATATATGCGATACACCACAATAAGACGACATGATCATCTATAGATAAGAGAGAGAGAGATAGATAGAATGTTATTTCACATATGTGTATGTATATGTTGTGGTCGAAATTAAAATTCAGCCCAATTTAAAATTTGCCTAGGCAAAATTGAAATTTTAATTTTGTCCAGACGAAATTGAAATTATAATTTCGTCCGATATGTTCTTAGTCAAAATTAAAATTTTAATTTCGTCCGGACGAAATTGAAATAGTGTTCTGATGAACAGGAGAATATATATAGAAGCATCCACGCATAATATTGTTAACCCTTTCGCGTCGATGGGGCCCACCGGTGGGCCCCACTATAGAGTGGTCCAAAAACTCTTTTATTGTAGAAAAAATTGAATATCTGTGCTATCCTTTGACCAAAGGAGCTGATTTTTTTACCATTGATAGAGGAATGTTCATAGCTCATATTGATAAGAGAAACATCGATAAAAGTTGTTTTGAAGTACAATATTTGCTACAAATAAAGAAATGAAACCTTTCACGAATTATGAGCAAGCAATATTCATATCGCCGCGAATGGGTTAATATAAATGATTGTGTTGGTATTGCAATTCATACGGTTGATAGAACAAATACCGATCCAAAATATTTACCATGTTTAATTATTGAAAAAAACGAAAAAAATAATATTTCTTTATATAAATTAATTTGTCAATATGGTATTTTACAAAACACATTTGAAGCCGGACAATTTATGAATTTAAAAGATGCTTGTCCCAATGAATTGAAACAAATTGATGTTAGTACTTTAAAGCCAATCACCATCATTGAAGCTTCAAAACTTTATTCTCGTGGTTCTACAACTGACCGAACTTGTAATTGTCAGGGCAAGTGTGCAACAAAATCATGTCCATGTAAAAAAGAAAACGTTTTCTGCTCAACCAAATGTCATTCGAAGAGGGGTGGGTGTTCAAACATGCACTAAACTAATTTAGGACTCATATTGTGTGTATTAAATAAAGATTGTAAAATAAAAAAAAATTTGTTTATACTTTAAATGTTTCTTTCTTTACTACTTTCTATTCATCGGAGCACTATTTTAATTTCGTCTGGACGAAATTAAAATTTTAATTTTGACTAAGAACATATCGGACGAAATTATAATTTCAATTTCGTCTGGACAAAATTAAAATTTCAATTTTGCCTGGGCAAATTTAAAATTGGCTGAATTTTAATTTCGACCACAACATATACATATATATACTATTCGTTTTCGTTATTCGAGATTAGTATTATCGTCATTTATCAGTTCAAATATGGAACGAATAAAACGACAGTTAGATGACAGTGTTTATGATTATAATGACAATAAGAAACCAAAAATGGAAAATCAATGTGAGATTTTATTTTATTTTTTGTCTATATTTAATAAATTATTATTATTTTTTATTTGATTTTAGTAATAATAAACAAGTCAGTTATTTGAAATTTATTTAATTATTTAATTTTGATTAATTTAGATCTTGTTTTGAAAATTTAGCAAATGAAACTATTTATGAAATATTTCAAATATCTTAATGTTTATCATATTTATAAAGAATTTTTTTATCTTAATCAACGATATAAAAGTTTAGTTGTTAATAGAAATTTTTCAATTCAAATAAATATCACAACAATGTCAAAATTAAATTTTGATATTTATCATGAAAATATGATTCAATCAAATAAATATCGAATGATTTATGATTATATTCAACTTGAAACATTAATTTTTGATAATATTGATACAAAATATCTTAATAATATTCTCAAATATTTAATTTATTTACCAAAATTATATTCATTAATTTTTAGTCTTATTGATTATATTCAAGATCCAAATATTCTTTTTCATCATATATTTCGTTTATCGAAATTAAAATATTGTAAAATAATATATCAAACAAAATATGATCAACAACCAATATCGATTTATTTGACTTAATTTACACATAGTCCTATTGAATATCTTATTATCAATAATCGTTTTTCAATTGATTCACTTTATGATATATTTCTTTGTCTTTCAAAACTTCGTTATTTATCAATTGATTGTCTTGTTGGATCTAATGATCCAGAATTTGATCAAGATCCTATTGTATTAGAATATTTAAAGTATATTTCTATTAAAGTTGATAATATACATTTCAATATATTCAAGAAATTAATCATATGTTTCTTTGGTTCTGTTGAAGTTTTACATTTTACAACACATGATTTAACATATTTAGTTCCAAATCAATGGGAAGAATTAATTTTATTTTCAATGCCAAATTTACGTATTTTTGATATATATCATACTAGTATTATAAAAAATAATCAATTAATATATCTTCTTTTAATTTATGAATTTGATTCTTTGTTTTGGACTCAACGACAATATGGTTTTTTACACATCAACATAATCGTCAAAATAAATAAAATAGTGTAATAATTTATTCAACAAATCCATATAGAAGAAAATATAATAGATTTTATTCAGAATTCAATTCACAACTTTATTTACGTATTCAAGAAAATAATTCTAATTCAGTTAAACATGTTCATATATGTAGTAAATATTTACCGAATCATAGTGTAATTTATTTTCCAAATGCTAATGAATTAACAATTGAACATTATTTTAATACAACTGATGATTCAATATCAACAATTCTTAATTGTATTCTTCCTTTAAAACAATTGACGAAATTAGTTATTCAAAGTTCTCATTTTTCTTTTAAACAAATTATTAACTTAATACGTTTTACACTTAATTTACATACATTAAAATTAGATTTATTATCTTTTAATGAAACTAATTTAAATTTAAGTCAACAAAATGAAGCTTTTCAATATGTATCAAATATCAAATAAAATACAAACTTTAGAACTTCGTGAATCCTGTACATTAGAAAATTTTCAAGTAATTATAAATGTATTTCTATAAATTGAATATCTTAAAACTGGAAATTAATCAAATTATACGATTTTTATCTTCGAAAACTAATAATAAAACGTGTCGTTTGTTCGTTTTGTGTATTTCACAAATACCTAAAGTATGTTTACGAGAATTAAATCTTTTAATTAAATCAGAAAATTTATTCAATAATTATTCTATTAAATATATTAATCGTGATTTATATTTATGGTGGTAGAGATTTTATTGTTTAGGATATATATGTTCTTTTTTTGTATATTGTTAATAGTTATTTTTAAATAAACGAAAATAATCGGTGGGTCAAATATACATTTCTTCTTATTTTAATTATGAATATTTAAAGTTTTCTATTGAATAATAACTTTATTTTCGTATTTTTGACCGATCAGATTGATTACTTGTTCTGATTTTTCTCAACGGTAGATTTATTTTATTATGGCAGTTTGTAAGTCTTTTATTTATTCAATGATTCGTATACAAATTAATATATTCATATAATTTAAAAGATGTTAGCTATATTGATATTTCTTAATTCAAATCAAAGTGCTTATCTGTCATATATATTTTCTCAAAATTGTAATATTTTTTAATATATTGTTCTATTAATCTCATAATTACTACAATCATGTATTTTCTCAATTTTCTCTTTATTGTTATTGTATCACTTTGTATTGGTACATATTGTGTTAGTCTTTCTTAATATATTCATTTTTTATTATAGATTTAGAGACTTTTAGAGTATTTAAAAATTGAATGTTTATATTGATAGAGTATATTAATCGTATATGTTGTCGAACGAAAAAACAAGTCATATAAAACAAATTCATATTTGTCGGATAATTAAGTCATCTGTCATTATTTTCCAGCAATCTCTGATATAAACAAGTAATTCAATTGATTTTCATCTTTAAATAAATTAATCTAGAATTATCCTTCGAATAGATGAAAATCAACAAGTATTATTTTGAAAACAATAGAGTGTTATTCATCGGTATACAATGTTTGATATTATTTGATGCATAAAATTTAGAGCGCATACTTCTAACTAGTCTTTTACAAGGATTTATATAGTCAAATGATGCGTATCCGTTACACATTCACTTCCCTTGTTGCATACATGATGATTCCCTTCTGATATTTCATGCATTAAGAGGAATTCGAATATGAACTCTCGAAAATATCAGAGAAATAATGATTTCAATGAACATCGAATTGATATTATCGATGACAACATGTTAGTAGTTGATAATATCCATCATAATACAAATGACTTCCATTAACAATCAAGATCTTTATCAGGTACAATAACAATTTCATGATTAGACAACGGATAACTCCGATGCTGACGGAAGTGAAAAATTGTTTATAATGAAATTAGATATTATTATGGACCGAAATACTAAAAAATTAATAAGCCTTAAAAAAACAATTTTTAAAAGCGAGAAGCCTTCTTAGACATGACAACTTTAAATATTTTCGATATACGTAGCCAGAAATTTATGGAACAAAATCTATCTCCTCTATTCTCTATATTTTAATATTTGTAAAAGTGCAGTAGAAAAACCTGCGTTCTCTCTCTCATACTAATATTTATAGCGTGTTGCAAAATTTCAAAAAAAAGGAGCAGAAGAGAAAAGAAGAAAAGAAAACGACTCATTTGTTCTCATTACTCTCTCATAGTTTTGAGAATCTAACTTTTCTTTCATTTGTAACGTGATTGTCTCTCTTTACTTGTCAACATCTATTCAGAATTTTTTTCGTCATGTCTTGCCTTGATGAATTCGATCAGCATTGGGACTATGATGATCCATCGAAATGGAGCGAACAATATCCAGCAGCAAAAGGTCTTTGTCAGTCGCCAATCAATATCAAATTTGGCGAAACTGTTAAGCAGCATTATCCACCATTTACATTTTCTCCTAAGTATAAGGATCGACTTTTATTTACATTAAGAAATACTAGTAAGAAGCTTACTGTTACATTAGCTAAAAAACAACATAATAAAAATCAAACAGATCTATGGGTCACAGGTGGTGGCTTAAATGGTACGTTTCATTTCGTCAATTTTCATTTACATTGGGGTAACAATGATCGACACGGTTCCGAACATGAATTTAATGGATATCGATTTCCTGCCGAAGCACATTTTGTTTATAAGAATTTTGAAAATCAAGAAATAACAGTATTTGCATTCTTTCTTGATGTATCAGGTCGATTTGACGACGAAAATACGGAATGGAAAAAATATGCTGATGTTACAACTCTTTTGAAAAATAGTGGTGATACATATGATTGTACATTCAACTTAAGTCATCTTATGCAAATTGAAAATCAAAAATTTTTTCGTTACATGGGCAGTTTAACGGCACCACCTTGTACTGAAGGCATTGTATGGTCTGTATTTTTTAATATAGTACCAATTTCAGAACACAGTTTAAATTTACTTCGTAATAATGTAGTACGAACAGCTTTTAGACCAGTACAACCAATTAATCATCGAATTATTTATCGAAATTTTGACTTTTGACAAATGTTTTGAATATTGAACTTTCGTAACGTTTTAGAAATTAAGAATAAAATCAATTAATTTAATATATATATCAATGGAATGTTGTTGTATTGTAGTTGTTTCGAATAATAAAACGCAGAAATGTATCAAATGCTCTTGTTCTATACACTTCATAATTTCATCTACTTTGTTAATAATTCGATATAGTTACATAAATGAGATAAAGCCTTTGAATGAATATTTGTTCAAAACAAGAAAATTTGAAATCAATTTAACATTTGCTATAAGAACAAAACTTCAAGATTACTAATAAATAGATTATTGTTGGATATAACTGATATTGATATTTGTAAACTCTATGTCTGTTCAGATTTAAATAGATTAGAAACCAATCTTAATGAACACAAACATTGATACTAAAAGCAAAACTCCATGGTTTATAAGAATTCCATAGCACTCTCGGATGTGCACATATACTCATTTACATTGACACTATATTTGACAATTTTCTTCATTGAAAAATTTAGATGACAAAAGAAGGAAAACTGATTGTTTTTAGCCAATGTCAAAAGAAGCATCGTATGATGTTCCGAAGAATTAATTATCAAAATTTCAATTTTCAACTGTTACTAACAGTAAAAATCAATTATCGTCAACACCAGATAATAATCATACAATGGGAAAGTAAAAAATCTTGTCCATACAAGGAAAATGTAATAGTGGCTTTGAATATTTTTTGCTGATATTCACTCTCAAATCTGCACTGTTTTTTTTTAATTAGTTCTATTGGATGTAGAATTGAATTTTTCTATCCCATAGTACTATTATTGATTGGGATCATCCTGGCAGAAAAAAGTAACTGTACTAGATACTAAGTTTCCATCGATATACAATCGTACTAATTTCATTTTTTATACTCATATGCAGTATCATGTAATTTAACGATGGTATATAATTTATGCATGTTTACTTTCAATTAATTTTATGAATAAATTAAATTATCAGTGATTTAAATTTAAAAATATTTCAATTATTTGCACTTCATAGTTTATTAAATTATTCTATTTCTTTTTGATACATCATGAAGACATATGTTCTTGTTTGTTCAAGATACTATTAATCTATTAATTATATTTTATATAAAATTTTTCTTCATCTAACAGATTATGATCTACCGAAAGATTCTACTCTTCATCAAAATGAGTTTTTCAAGAGAAGAAACTCAAAATATTAGTTTGTACCATAGCATAATGAGACATGATGAAGAAGTACCTATTTTCATATACCCTAAAGTTGTCTTTCTATTTTATTAACTCATGTATCAACGCTAATATTTGAATATTTTCCAAATGCAATAAATACGTTGGCATTGATGACAATCCATTGACCTCAAGGAGCAAAATAATTCACTGTCATTGTTGGTGAAGATGCTCAGTTGTCTAAACCGAGGGCTTGTCTTTCGATCGTCAAGGCACTTTCTATGTCGCCGATTCTGATAAGTATCGTGTTTAACGTTTTTCTACTTAATAAAATCGCATTGCAATTAAGATAAATCTTTTCCTTTATTTCGATTCTGTGCCCACATACACGACTAGGAATGACCATGGTGGGATCGTGACCAGCGTAAAGCTCTTGCACATACGGAAACAGACTCAAGTCGTGAGTGGGTATGGACGTGTGGTGTGGGAATGGGTGTCGTTGTGAGTGTTGATAAAAAAGATGATTCTCCATCACACGGATACCACTATGCATATCTACACATCCTTCCGTGCATTATCACCCACATCCAACAAAAGCAAGGCTTTTTACTCGCCCGTTTAAAGCCGAAAACCAACAAGAATAGGTCAGACAGAGAGTAAATATTATAGAAATGGTCAAACGCGTCATTGTGTGCAAATAAAAGGAAAAATATGTGACTTTTCGTGGGTGTGTGCATAGGTGTGGGCCCTCTTCTTATTTACACCCACACCCATCTGAACTCACATCCTCCTCTGACTTGAAGGTTTTCACGCAAGTTCTGAAATCGAATGAAATAAATTCAATTGCAGTAATCAATGAGACAGACTTCTAAGAAAATTCAAATCAGAAGAAATCATAAATTTAAGTCTAAAAATCAAACTTTTCATCAGATTTAAATGGTGTCGTTATAGTAGATTTTTAATAAAAAAAAATAATAACTGACTTTTATTGTGATTTTTTAAACATTATTTTACATGGAAAGCTAGAAATCCAGTACAAAAAAAAAAAAAGAAGTATGTTTAACTTTTTTTGATTACTACTTGATTAATCTCACGTACACATTTCAGTTCACTTCTCCACTGTTACAAAGCCATACTTTATATGCCATCACACATTATATTCGTATCAAATCATATCGATTCGGTTAATATTCTTTGCTGCCTTTTCTTCTCATCGCAATATTCCTTCTTCATGCTTCTTTTTGATAGGGATTCATTCATTAAAAAAAGAAAAGAAAAGCGAACAAAGATAAGGAATAACGAGAGAGGCTCTCATGCTCTAGTTTAAAATTTTGTTTTTCTTTTTTTATACGAAACATCATTGTAATTGATTGAGTATATATGTGATAGAATGGTTACAGCTGTACAAATAATTGCTAAAGGAGTCGTAGCGTTTCTTCAAGCATCAGTAAGAGGGAGAGTAAGTATCATAAAGTAAATCAGCATCAACAAATATTAGACTCATAATTTTGTTTTCGTTTGAAGATATTCAATTGCAAGCAAATGAGCAACACTTACAAATATGTTTTCAATGCGGTCGTTCTTCATTTTTCTATTTCGTTTTCATTATTTTTGTCAGAATATTCGTTTTTCATAGATATACAATAATCCTAGACACCATCTAATAAGTTCATTCGTGTTTCTTGTTATACAATTCGTGAAACATCTTCGAAATAAAGCATAGTGTTTGTTTTTCACAAAAATCTAGTCTGAAATTTGTCGGGTACAAAGATTTTATATGACTCATTCTATGTAGCAGAGCAGAAAAGAGTACTGGAATAGGGCCGATTCATCTTGGCGCGTGGATATCTTTGACTTGTGCTATGAATCAGTATTGCTATAGAGTGTGTTTTTTCCTTACCGATACCTATCTAAGCCTGTTCGATCAGGCACGAATCATTGTCGACTTTTCGCTTCTGTATGAGTCAAAATTTATAACTCAAAACAGTCTCTAGATTACCTATAATCATATCTGTATTAATTTAGAAATTACTTAGGGCTTTTGGTTTACGATTATAATACTTTTATGAAACATGATTTTCAGCAAGGTTTGAAGTAGATAGCGAAAGAACGAATCTCATTCTTTTTCTTCAACTTGCTTTAAAGATCACGAATGTCATACTGTTATTCTTTGAATCTGTTAGCGAAGATTTTAATGTCAGTAATAAACAGGGTTGCCCAATCGGCTCATTCTCAAAAGAGATACTTTTTAATAATACTCTGTCGTACTTTGTTGGGTACCGCTAATTGAACTTTTCTATGGCTACTTAATCAACCTACAGCAACTTAATGTTTTCCCATAGCTATTCAATTGAACAGGGTTAGTTGTGGGTTATCTGAACTGGTTCATAGGAAAACTTATTTGGCTACACACGTATCGTTAATTCTTATTTGGTTTGTAAAAAAGAATTCTAATATTGATGAGTTGAATTCCATATTGGTTTGTGAAAATATTTCATTCATTATTTTTCATAATATAATGAATCTTTCAGATATAGATTCTTTATGAGATTATGAGAGGTATTTTATTTATACATGAGAGCGAGAAAAGAAAGAGAGAACAGTGTCAAATTTTGAGTCACATACAAAAAAGTACGCAACCATCGTAGAGGTCCATTAGCTATTCAAATAATCTTGAGTATCACATTTTTTTCAATATCTATGAAACTGTTCTCATAGCCTTGAAAAGGTTACAATAGTTATAAAATAGTGAAAGAAATATTTCATATTGCTTAAACGGCTATTGGTTTATAAATAGCTACGGCCTTTTGAAATAGCTATGCGATTTTTAATCGCTGTAATATGTTAAAATAGCTGCAGAGTTTTTAATCAGTACGCAAACTGTAAATAGCGACAGAAAATATAAATACATGTAGGATATTTGAATAGTCATAGAAAACTTCAAGTAGCTAACACTAAGTAGCTGTAGTTTGATAAAGTAGCTATAGAAAGACATTGAGTAGCTGTAGGATGATTAAGTAGCTATTAGCTTTTTTTCAAAAGTATCTCTTTTGAGGAGCTACATGCTTTACGATTATTTCTCAAGTAGACTTTATTCATTGAAACAATTACGTTGATCAGATAACGAAGTCATTTTTAAATGTCTGACGAACTGCTCAGTAAAAAGCTCTTATCATCCTTGCTACTTGATATCTTGATTCATATTCAAGATTGAGTTAATTTCATCTTTCGACGTTGTGCACCTTAATAAATGATTGTGCAATAGCTATTAAGTCTTTTCGCTTCAAAAATTCGAGATCTTCTAATATACCGTAGCGTCCACACTCCATTAAGGTATATTCTATTATGATACACATTTTCCATAGATTTCAATAAAGGATATTCTGACAAAACTCCCCTGGTTTTTCAGTCTTTTCCGAAGCTATTCAGAGTTTTTCCAAAGTTTCAAGATTTTCTTTGATAAAAAAACCTCCGAAAATAGACTGCTTTAACTGAAAACCATTGACAATTGATTTAACAATTTTTGACTGTTACTTAAAATTAAGTACATCTTCTATGATGTCCTACATATCAAATCCTCCATGAGTCTTCTAATACGGAAAATACTTCTGTTATAGAAGGGTTTAATATAAAACAATATCGGATTATCACCTATTTTATTTTAATTCAGATGAAAGGAAAGTTTTCCCCATAAGCTTGATGTTAAAAAGGAGAAAATTACTTACGCAAGCAAAAGATTGAAGTTTCTTTGTGTAAAACTAAGTAGACACCTCTCAGACATAAAATAAAAGCCTCTTGATTTTTTTCCTGATTCAGAAAGAAAAGTCTTCTGGTAAACTACTCATTCGTTAAATTTGAATTTGGTAAGCCTGGTAATAAATTAGTTTTTTTCCCGATGTATTGGTTTTTGGCCTTATCATAGGTTGTTATTTAGATAATGAGGTTTCGACAAGACGAGAAGCCAAACACTTCCTATGTAAGCTTACTTTAAGATTGCGCAGAAATATCCACTGCAGTTTTTTAGCTATTTAGAGTGTGTGGGTGTGAACTATGCATGTGCATACTGATCTAGAATTCATTATTTAAATATACACACTTTTCTACGCCATGTTCATCCCATCTCTTGACCTTCTTGGTAAATCTCGAAGTTAGAAATATATAAATTACATTGTAGCAATATCACGATGTATATCAGTTTGTTTATTTTTTTTTATTTAACATAGAATTGAGTTTTCAACTTCAATCTTGCACAAAACCTTCTATCTTCTTTATTGCATGGATTCGAGCCCTGATGTGACCCAATTCATACAGACTGTAGGCAAGCCTACAAATGAAATTTGCAAACTGATCGTACTTGGTTTGGAGGGAGTCGGCAAAACAACTTTGATCAATGAAGCATGCAGAACACATTTCAATACTAGTGATGGACGTAGTGGATGCAGCGTGAAAGAAAACCAAAAGGGTTCGTTTCGTGTTGATGGATTCTCTCGTTGTTATGAACTCATTGATATGCTGGGGATCAATTATAAAAATCCAGGTGAATGGCAGAAAACACTTCATGGACGTTCTGAAGTACATGGTGTTATATTTTTACTTAGTGGCATTAATCCTCGTGAAAGTGCTCTTGGTGATTTACCTCGAATCAAAGATTACTGTTCCAATCTGGACATTCCTGTGCTATTTATTTATCGTGATGGATTTCTTAACTTCGTACCACGTGTTCGAATCTACGCTTACACCCAGGAAGTCGAGGTTGATGATGAAGAAACAATGTGCAAAATAGTCAAGACCAAATTTCTGCACTATCAAAATCTGGACGAAGTTAAACGTGTCATTGCCCAAACTTTCGAAAGTGCTCAACAACTTCATCAACTACTTGATCCCATTGTTATCTGCGGACATGTAAAAATGCTACGAGAAGAAAATGAAAATTTAAAAATGGAAATCAAATCTCTGGAACAGAACCATCGAAATATCATGAATGAACAAAAGAAAGAATATGATAATCAAATTTCATCGCTCAACGAATCACTAGGCAAAGCCGCACTTAACATCAAAGAATTGAACCAAACAATGGATAAGGTTTCCCAGAACAATCAAAAGCAACTGCAGGAACTTATCAAAGTAACTCAATCTCTCAACAGCGATAATGAGCAGCTTCGACTGAAAAGTGAAGATCTTACCAAACAAAAGAGCGCTCTAGAAAAAACCTATACAGAATTGTGCGAAGAAAAAGATGCATTACTCATCGCTATTCGACAGACAAAGATAAAACAACAACAGCTTGAAATCGTCAAAAATAAACTGGATAATGAAATAGATAAGCTGACACAGACCAAAGATAACTTGGAGAAGGAGAAAGATTTTTTGCAGAACAAAAAATTACGACAGCAACAGCAAATTCGTCATATAGCGAAATATGTTGAAAATAAGATGAAAACTTTAGTTGACGTTTCATGTTCCGATTCAGGAGAGCCAAAAAAAATTAAACAGAAAACATATCAACGTGGTTCCTTCACGTGGCTACCAGGGGCGGCATATTGGGTGGCTGAAGAATATGACAACTTCGGAAAAAATATCGAAGAATTCATCACTAATTTGAGACAAATCATACAATCGAGCGATATAACCACTCTTTCCGATAAATGGCACCTAACAGACGCCGAACTAGACTAGTAGATAAAACACTATGAGTCCTTCTTCACCGTAAATAATGATATCTTATATAGGATGTGAGTGTGACTGTTGATGTATTATTCTAGAACACCCAAACGTAACTTTGAATAAGAAAACAAATAAAATAAAATCAGTTCATATTCAATGCTCGGAATTATCGGCTGCATATCGTACTTTACCTTAACATTATGATTGCCTTTATTTTTAATACATTCGACGCGATTCGATTTTTCTTAGGAAAAAGCTTTGACAAATTCATTTTTATGTGTGTTCAACGGAAGATAGATATACTTGTTGATCTTCTCAGCATACGTTGCCAATTGTTTTCTTTTTCTCGTTTGTATCATCACACAGGTAGATCCTTTTCATGTCGAACTGAATAATTATTCAAGTTTATTCGTCTTTCTTCTAAGTAGTGCGCAGTTGGAACAATATAACGAAACAAAATTTCGATTTCGTTGATCACAAGCTCGAAAAAAAGGAGAACTTGCACGCATCTTCCGAAGATGCGATGTTAGTCGCTATAAAAAAAGCAAGAAACAGCAACGAAGAGAAGCTAGTGATGTTACAGCCAAGAAAATAGAAAGCTTCTGTTCTGATTACAACAACTCTTTTTTTGCTTTGATTCTGTTAGCTAGAAGCATCATGCTATTCGAATAAATACTTCAAACAAAAGCTAGACAGAGCAGATGACACATTACCTGTGTAACCTCCTGCCCAAGAGAAGAGGAAAAGAAAGTGTTTTAATATTAAGTTTCTTGTTACAATATGGTGGGTTCCATTGCATCGAAGGTATTAAAATTCAAATATTGTAAAGCGGCCTGTTATTGGTCGAAATCAAGAATAACAAGAATCATCACATTTCAATTATTCATCTGAATTTGCTTTATGTTGCGTTATAACGTAAAATTTCGGGGAAAGTTTTTTGTAAAATAAATACAATTGGTTTCATCATATCAGAAAAAAGTTGCTAGGAAAAGGACAAGCTGTAATTTGATCTATATGAAACGCGTTCAAATAAGTCAGCAAATACATAATGACAAAATAAATGAGATCCATTCAAGTAAAAATTTATCAACTTTTTTCTACATTAACTTGATCGCAATTTCAGTGTTCTCAACCATAATTGGCATGACGTTTTAGAAGTTCAAAGTTCAGTAAGTAGCCATGGTTTAATTAAAGCGCTACGTCTTAACATATAACTAATACTTTTCTTTTAATTCTTGTTTTACGTTTTTGGCATACGGAGTGTAGGTGTGGATGGGTGTGGGTCTGGGGTTAAGTTTGAGTGTGGGTGTGGGAATGAAAAGTTTCTCACTCACACCCCACACTCACACCCACTCATTTGGATTTTCTTCTTGAAAATTCAGAATAGATAAGCCATCTGATGAGTCCCTTAAGCAAGGACAAAACCGGTCATGGCAGCTTCTTCACACCCACACCCACTACTCTCATATAAAGATATCTATCGGTTTGAACTATTTTGTTCAAAGTCAGTACAGATTTCAAGTATTTTGTTTATGATTTTTCCAAATCATTTTGAACAAATACGACATAGTACAAGCCATCTGATGAGACCTTTAAGCAAGGTAGAAATCTGGATCATGGCATGCCTGACACACCCACACCCACCCTCACAATTTGAAGGTATGAATAAAACACGTCTATTACGCTAAGCTATTTATACGCAAACACTTGAGTTACGCAATACTAGCAAGTTGACTGACTATCAATGGAAAAAATCCGTAGATAATATTGTTTGTTATCAATGTCGCTTCATTTATACTCTTTATCATCAACTCGATTTTTTTCGGTGCATATGAAGGATGGACTTTGGATGTAGGTGTATGCGTGAGTCTGGCTCTGGCTGACTGTGTGGCTGTTAATAGAAGATGACACCTCGCATTCACCTATACCCACATCTCAATCGATAAATAAAACTTTTCATGCATGCATCATTCTTTAAATATTGCTTTTATCTATGAAGAATATCAAAGTATGCATATCATCTTGATGTCCTCATTCAAAGAATAGTTAATTACACAAGATGAGACAAAATATAAGAAATTTTTATTAAATTCAATAATCAGCTTAAGTTCTAAAAAGAAGATAGATTTGGAGAACTAATACACCATTTTCAAATGAACACCGACATTGCTCTATAGTCAAATATCCTTTTTTTGTGATGTGATGTTACAATGTGATAATGAAAATTTGTTTTATGAATGTAACTAATATAACCATATACCGAGACGATCTTTTTCTAGTGACCATCTGAGTTTGTCCATCGCATCATGTTTCTCCATCCACTGTTGTATTTGTTGTTCGCTAGTTGATCCACATGCAAAATGACCGTTCATATAAGTTAAATGGATTAATTCATTGATGAGAATAGTTAAATCATCGAGTTGACTAATTGCTAATTCAAGATATTCGAGATTAAGAAATAAATAGTGGATTCTACTTAATTCAGATTGATTCAAGCAATAATTTGCAGTCCAGGATGTTGCGAGAATTAGATTTTTAAGCTGATGTATCGGAGAAGAAATCTTCTTGAAGTATTCAAGAGTCTTCCATAAATGTCTGAATTTGAGGGTTGTAAGGCTTGCCATTAGTGGTAGAGCTTCAGTAAGAGATTCATCTTCGATGATGAATTTTTTAACTACTGTTAAGTTAATGTAATTTGAAAGCGTGGACTTGTCGTTCCAACAAGACCAACCACTTGGAGTTGGTGGTGGTCGAATCGTTGTAGCATTCGAGAAATAACGGCTTTTGCCTCGTATGAACCACATCTGATCAGTTGAAGTTTGTAATCCGAGCGTTCTCACGCTTTTAAAATTAGGATTTACTGAATTTGAAGCCCAAAAAGCTGCTGGACAAAATATGACTTTGTCATGACTTGGTGGAGATTGACTATAAAGTTCAATAGTATCAGCATTATTATAAGGACAATCAGCAACAAACCACCATTTCTTTTCTTCGGTCCAAAATGCGCTACAGAATGATTGAATCACATCTGAAGGAAACCATTTTGAGAAAACTCTTTCAACACCTACATTTAAACGGAAGTCGGATAAGTTTGGCAAATACAGTTGCTCAAAAAAGTATTGGACCAAAACTTTTTTGAGTCATA